TCAGGTCCCGAGGATGCTGGACTAGGGAGGATCATCCTGTAGTGTAACTCCACTGGTGTAAGTGCAAGGAATTCAGGTCACTACACCTGCAAACTTCACAATACAAGAATTCACTTTCAAATGTTCCATCCGTGGGATGCAATGGCATTCCTTCCCCTTAACTTCAGTAAGGGGCTGTGGAAGACTGCCTGGGAAGTTCCCGTGAAGGGATACCCTGTCAAATGTTCTAGACTGAGAAAAGATGTTGGCTTGCTGTATCAACCTTTCCTGCTGCAGGCCATGTCACACACTTCTCAGCAAGGCAATGGTGTAGCTATTTGGTAGGCCATGGAAACAGCCTCGAGTGCTCAGCACCTGGGATACTTCTTTTGGTGTCATGCAAACGCTTTGCCTGGACGCCAGATTATTCACAACGTTTCAAAGAGAACCACGAAGTGACTTCCATTTAGGCGGCTGAAAGATGTTTGTACACGGCATTCTCTAACCCTGCAGCAGCTCAGCACCTCATTTATCCTCTCAGCATCATGTGCAACTGGGGGTGGGGGTGGTTATTCCCTTTTGACAGGTGGGGACTGAGTCTACCCCAGGCAAGTCAGTTTGCACAAGGTCACCAGGAAGTCTGTGACCAAGCCAGGAACTGATCGCTGACCTCCTTGCTTCCAGGTCAGTGCTCTTGCCATCAGACAACCCTGCCTACTCTAACACTCTGCAGACCTGTCATGAGGAGGTCTCTCTGTAGCTTTTAGCTCTGCCAGGCATGTGCAGTTTCATGTTTCTTCCTGTTTGGCTTTAGGTAACATTTGCTAACGGTCCGAGGCACAGCTACTTGTTTATGTTGTCCTGTCCTCAAGGACAGAGCCCAAGGTTAAGTCCTACCCAGCACATTCAGAGCAATGTTAGTATTTAGGCCTAATTCCTACAGGGCAACTCCTGAATGGCCAGCATGAACTCTGTGGTTGCCTCTGTATCTTACCTAAAAGCATACACTTAAAAGGTAGGGAGTCAAATTCCGATGCTCTAAATGGGCTATGAAATCGCAAAGTAGGGATGTAAAATCCCATGTAATTTATTAATCGGTAAAACTATAAGTTAACCACCTTCCACACTGCAGGGGTGCTGGAGCAGCCCTCCCGCCCGCAGTGCACAGGGCCCACCGCGCCGAGGCAGGGCGCTGCTCCAGCCCGCCGGGTGCTGGTAAGCATGCCAGCAAGGCAATCCTTCCCGGTTAAACCTTAGCATCCCTGCTACAAATAGGAAATCCTACAGGTTTCTCACTTTGGCAATTCCCCAAAGGAAAAGGATTTGCCAATCAGACAACGGTAGAATTATACTCAACTCTGAAAAGATTTGCTGCTCAGAACTGCCTGCCTTGAAGCCATACAGCAAATGTAGACCGTCCTATCTTCATGTCAGGAACAAAGCAGATCATGTGTCTGTGTCCCTGATAAGGGAAGGTGGTGAGTTTGGCCCCATCACCTGGACACACGGTCACATCTTTCCTTCCAGGTGAATGCCAACTAATATCACACAGAGCTAACTGACAAAAGGAAGTTCTCACACACACGCCACCCGCTAGCAGGGCGATTCTCTGCCAGCTGTTCTGACAGGATAGGTGAGGAACCAGGCTCCAGCACTCTGTGTGTGTATATGGCCTGGTCGCCAATAACTGAAGTGTTTGTAAAAATCTTCACGGCAGGTTTACATTCCTGAGATGCTGGCACACACACAGGCGACTTTTCACACTACCCACTTCTAGTCAGCGCGCACAGACCTCACCTCACTGCTGTACAACTCTGCTCGCACGCCAGCATTGGGAGGTTAGCCATCAGCTTCTAGGGCAGGCAGACAGGCTTCTATCTTTGACAATTATATTCAAGATACAAGTCAAAGTAACAAGAGCCAAGATCTATCAACCTCCATTAAAAACGGAGGCTTAAGCAAGAAACTAATCCTCTTAAAAAGCAAACGAGATTGTCATTAGTATCCCTTCTGCTACATATAGTAGCTGTTGCAGCAGTTGCACAAGTAAGTAGGCACATTGCAGTCAATGCCTTTACTCACAGGAGTGAAAGCTGCATTCTTCAGCCCACAGTATTTTGCAAAAGGAGAACAAATGAAACATCCCTACAATGAACTAGAGACGAGTTCAGCTGTTTATGTTTAAAATGTTCCAGGCCTGAATTTTCTAACTTTTTCCGTGCTTCCTAATAAATATGTTAAGAGCCCTGAATATCCCTGTAGTGCCTGGAAACCGGTGACTCCTGGAGATTCTTCACAGCAAGAGTCCATGAGGAATCCGGGCCAAATTCCTCTCCTGAACCATTTCCAGAATGCTGATAAGTTTCACCCTCTGTCTTGGCTAATGAAAAGATGCAACGGGAGTCAGTCCAGATGATGGATTCTGAAGGAGCCAAAGGCTCTTTCTTCCTGTAGGAGCAGGTCTAATTTTGTGATTTTAAAAAGAAAGGAGAAAAATCCTGGTTTGTTTCAACGTCAGTTTGGCTGACACAAAGGAACAATTGCTGATCAGCATCAGCGCTGCAGCACAGGAAAGTGTGACGCATGGCTGGCAAGTTCCCATTTAAAGTAAGACAATAGGCTCAAACACAAGGGTGTCAAGCCCCCGTCGGCTACAGCAGGGGCATCCAAGTCATTTTAGCGAAGAATCAGAGCGCTTGCATTTGTTTTAATGACCAACCTATGAACGTTCAAGTGGGAATATGACGTACTTGAGGGAGGGGAGAGGACAGGTCCTTCATATTTAACTGTCTCAAAGACAGCACAGCGGATTGGGTGAAAGGGTTCCCACAAAATTAATTCTCGGTATAAAAATTACAGCCCAATGGGAATTGGAGAAAAAACATGAGCAACCAACATGAGGGAATTAGGGAGGAAATCAGTGTTCAACCTTAACGAATGTGTGCGCTATTCAGGCCCTCTATAATACATACCTTCTAGTGCCAATTTAGAGGGGTGACTTTACATGACCGCAGCAGCCCTTTATAATGGCACAAGGCTAGTTTTAACTACTCTAGTCTTCACACCGCCCATCCCAAAGACATCTAAGTAGTGCATGTTGTGCAGCAAGTGACAAGGGTGACGTTCTGTACAAGGGTGCCATTTAGAAGGTCTTAGGGGGGTAGTAGCATCTTCCTGAAATTTGAAAATTTGAACCCCTGGATTTCATACTTGAGGTCTGCTTAAAGCTGCATGCCCTGGCTCCAGAGGTAGTTCTTAAATGCAACAAAGTTTTAGCTGCTTGAAGCTTGGCCTTTGGGGAAGGGAGTTTGTTATAAAAAGAGGGAGTCAGGTGATTAAGAACAACAAAAGACTGATCATTCAAGTAACTGAAGGATCATTAGACCCTCATGAAAACATTCCCAGGTACTTAAAAGATGGGGGGGCGGGAAGAGTAGGAATGAGTGTTGTGCTGCTGGGATTTGCATTTGGGTTTGTTCTGTTAAACATATAAATGTTCTTGGAAAAAGGATAAAATTATAATTTTATGAGATGGTAAAATTTGCAGATACTACAAAATTACTCAAAATAGTTAAGTCCAAAGCTGGTTGGAAAGAATTACAAAAGGACCTCACAAAACTGGGAGACTGAGCAACACCAGGGCAGATGGAATTCAGTGTTGATAAGTGCTAAGTAATGCACATAGAAAAATATAATCCTAACTATACATACAAAAATGGTGGGGTCTAAATTAGCTGTTACCATTCAAGAAAGAGATCTTGGATTCATTGTGGATAGTTCCCTGAAAACATCTGCTCAATATACAAGGGCAGTCTGAAAACTAAAAAAACTAACAGAATACCGGGAATCATTAGGAAAGGAATAGATTGGGATCGGCAACCTTTCAGAAGTGGCGTGCCAAGATTTAACTTATTCACTTCTATTTACAGATCTGCGTGCCCCAAACCTGAGTCCCCGTGGGTGCAATGCCCCGAAGGGCCCCGAGCACCCACCTGAGTCTTCCGTGTGCAGGGCCCTAAGCCCCAGTGGTGCTGGGCATGGCGCAGCCTAACCTGCTGCCGGGGAAAAGGGAGGGTACCGACTGCTCATGCACCACAAGAGATCATCCTGCCTGGCCGGGCCTCCGCGCAGCCCAATCTCAGCCTGCCCCACGGGAGCCACTGAGCCACGAGGCTCCAGCAGCAGCGCAGGCTCCCCACATGCCACTCAAAATCATCTTGCTTTCCACTTATGGTATGCGTGCCATACATTGCCGACCCCTGGAATAGATGGTAAAACAGAAAACCTCATATTGCCTGTATATAAAGTCACGGGATGCGCACATCTTGAATACTGTGTGCAGATTTGGTCACTCTGTCTAAAAAAGATCTATTGGATTTGGAGAAGGTACAGAAAGGGCAACAGAAATGATTAGCGGTAAGGGACAGCTTCCATATGAGGACAGATTAACAAGACTGGGACTTTTCAGCTTGGAAAAAAAAATGACCAGGGGCGGGGGATATGTTAGAGGGCTAGAAAATCATGAATGGTGCAGAAAAATAGCATGAGAAAATGTTATTTACTCCTTCACTAACATAACACAAGAAGCATTCAAAGACTGCGCAGCTGGCTAGCAGGTGTGCTACAATGACCTACAGGTGTTCATGGCCAGGGCTGTTGATTTGTATATGTCTTTAGATACTGGCTAAGCAGTTCTGCAGGCAAGGACCTGGGAATTACAGTGGACAAGAAGCTGGATACGAGTTAATAGTGTGCCCTTGTTGTCAAAAAAGCTTATAGCCTATTGGGCTCCACTAGTAGAGAGCAACGCCAGCAGGTCAAAGGAAGAGCCAGGTTTGGGTGATCTGTGCATGCGCAGATCGCCCGACAGCGCGGCTGGCGAGTGGGGCTCACCGCAGTTTGGCGAGCCTTGTTCATGGCCGATACCCCACAACATTAGAAGTGGATTGCTCCTGGTTTAATCCAAACTAACAGTGGAGCTCTAAGCTTTGTCTGGAGGTGGGTGGCTAAGTAGGACTCACCTTTCTTGAAGGTCGTGCAGACTCTGCTCCGCTCTGTGAAGCCCTTCTAGGTCTTTCATCATCCTCTTCAGGTGCTCCTTCGAGTAGCGGTTCTGGATGTAGGCAAACCAGCAGCCCCCCACTCCAATGACAATGGACACCACCAACATGAAATCCTTTAGGTGGTTATGACGAGTTACTGGGGGGGAAAGGAAATACAAATATACAGCTTAATTCAAAGAGGATCTGATTTGTTCTGGTGGCGGTGGCTGCTTTTAGTACCATAGGGAAAAAAGCTAAAGCCACTAGAATGAACGATGGACCTAAAAACACATCAGGTGGGGAAGACGGATGCTTGCCCACAGCTATCAATCCCCTTCACCAGAAAAGACACCTACCTTCCTTAACAGGCTATCCCAAACTAAAGCTGGTGAGAAGGCTTGCATGTGGTCTACAGCCCGTTTGTTTGTGGCCCGCAGTGCGGTTTGGGTTTACATGGGGCTCAACACGTGACCCGCAGGTGGGACCCTTTGAACAAGGCCTGCACTGGGAACACGCTCGACAACGGCGAGTCAATATAATGGTCGCTGGGAACACGCTCGACAACGGTGAGTCAATATAATGGTCGTCTGTTGCTATGTGTTTTAGTAGTTAAATTTCTGCCCTGTCATTGCTCATTAAAAGTGCAGTCATATGGGTGGAAATTGGGTAAATATTGCATTTTATTAACATCAGCAGAACTGACTTAAATGGGCCTGCGTGTTGTGTAGTCTTGCCTTAATCTGTATTCATGCCCATCAGTGTGAAAGAATCTATTTGCGTATATTTGCATGTATATGCAACCACTCTTAAGTTGCGGCCCTCAGCATGGGCTGAGAGTATCATTGTGGCCCCCAGGGCTTCCAAAGTTGAGTAGCCCTGATCTACAATGATGTAAGAACCCTTAACTGAATGAGGCACGTCCCCGCTACTTCAAGACTGTTGCTCTGTCAACCACCATGACAGCTGCACTCAAGCCCAAGCAAGCACAGGAGAGATGGGAAGAAATCACACTTTGATGAGGGGAGCTGGCTATGGAACAAACTTGCAGAGAAAATCAGACAAATATGGAGTCTGATTATCTTCAGGGAATGCTGCAAAATCTTCATATAGAAAAAAGCCTCTATTTTAATAGTCATACTCGACCCTGACTCCTCTTCCTGGCCAATAAAAAAGGGTCATATTAATAAAATCTAAATCCCACTCCACTCCAAAAAAGTAAACTCCAGGAATAGGGTTTGTTTTTTTTCATATTTGTTGCTGGCAGCACCTACTGAGTATAAAATGGTTTGACTTTTCCAATAACATAGATGTGTCACTGAAAACTGTCCTTATCATGAAGTCATTGTTGGCAATTGCCAGTTGGCCCTTTTGGGTCACAGTGCTTGTGTCTGAGACAAAGTCCCTGCATATGGAGCTCTGAAGATGGGATTTGAGGGCAGGAGGGGACACTGCCATGTCACAGACTTGCAGCGATCACATAGTCCTCTGTTATTAAGCTGGTTGCACCTAATCAGTAATAACTCTGAGGAGCAATAAGACATCTGGAATAAAGCCATACAGTCATAGACACTCAGCACTACAGACTTCCGCTGCCTCAGCATATTGTTGTAAGCAGAATTTTTACCTAAAAAATCTGCCTCAGCATATTGTTGTAAGCAGAATTTTGACCTCAGAAACGGAGAAGTGCCGGAAGGGCCATGAAGTCCACTTGGGAGTTTGCTATTGCTATTGATTTTAAAGGGAATGGACTTAGACTCTACAGAGATGGGGGCAGCATAAACCCCAAGATAAATAAACTCTGCTTCTGTTTTCTCTCAACTCTGGGTTAACATCCACACGGCTTGTTACCCCTGTCAAAAAAAGCTACTAGACTGGTTTGACATGACTTGTTCTTGACAAATCCATGCTGTTACTTATCACCTTACTGTCTTCTAGGTGTTGGCAAGCTGAATGCTTAATTATTTGCTCCATTGTCTGTCTTGGTATTGAAGTTAAGATGATAGGTGTTTAAGTTCCTGGGGTTGCCCTTATTTCCCTTTTTTTATAGATTGGGACTATATTCCCCATTTCCCAGCCTTCTGGAATCTCTCCTGTCTTCCAGGCCTTTTCAAAGAGAACTGTTCATGGCTCAGATATCTCTTCTACCAGCACCTTGAGTATTCTAGTGTGTCTTTCATCAGGATTTGGTCACTTGAAGACATCTAATTTGTCTAAAGGAATTTTTAACTTGTTCTTTTCCTGTTTTAGCTTCTGATTGTGCCCATTTTCACTGGCATTCACTATGTTAGCCCTTTAATAGCTACCAATCTTCTGGTGAAACCCAAAATGAAAAAGTCATTTAGCACCTCTATCATTTCCATGTTTTTGGTTATTGTTTTGTTCCTGTTATGATATGGGACCACACCAAAGAGGTACAAAATGATCATCTAAAAACAAATTCCATCTAAGAGAACTATGACCTCTATAACGACTGCACAGAAGATTAAAATGCCAGCGAGCCAGCCCCCTTCCCTCAGCATGGATCTGATCCAAAGCCAGCTGAAGTAATTGGGGTTTTTGCATCAGGCCCTACATGGCTGAACAAAGACAGAAGTGTGAGCAAGTGAACGAGTAGGAGCTGAGCAGCCCAGCGCTACACTCAAGTCAACTCTGCGAGAGCCAGCTTGGCTGAGTCAGGGCTGCTGAGCAGAACCACACGGGTCAGTTCACTTGGCAACTGCAAAAAGTAAAATCAAGAGAAACATCCCAGAAATCAATAACCGAGAGGAGTGCCTCTCTTTACCTAAAATGGTAGCATTCTGAAGAATTTACATAACTCCTCATTCATCAAGAGGAGAGGCAATCCTGAGCATGCAGGGCACTTCCAATGCGCTTGGAGCAATCAGCCCATTTCAGGATCCGGCAATAAGAGTGGCTGAGCTCCAAAGAGGCATAAGAGGCCTACAAGCAAGGCAGGGGTGATCATTTCAGTTGTGTAAAGCACTCTCACAGCTCCCTCAAAGTCAGTAACTGTCTCTTTGCGGGGAGGAGGGGTCAGATGATATCCCCTGCTCTTTCTTCCTTCACGAGTGAAGCAGCCCGCACCTCAGTAGTCATGTAAGCGGACTCCCAAAGCTGTGCTCCTTCTCACAGGCCAAACCCTTTAGTAGGTGCTCTTCCACTCACGGTTCTACAGGTGTGGACAAGATGCACTGGTATTAGATACTTCTCTTAACACAGGGAGCCTCATCAAATAAGTGTCCGACTCCTCCTAGTCCTGCCAACGGCAATAGCTAGGACAAGGAGAAGTGGTTCTGGCTTCTAGTTCCCTATTCTATCCGGCAGAGAAAGGTATAACTGGATCCCATGGCTAGAAGTTGCAGCTAGATACATTCTGACTGGAAACAAGGCATAATTTGTATAAGGTGAAGGTAATTAACCATTGGCACAACCTACTAGGGGTAGCAGTGGTTTCTCATCATTGACAGTTGGATGCTTCTCCAAAAGCTCTGCTCTAGGGATTATTTTGGGGAAGTTCTCTGGCCTGTGTTCTGGAGAAGGTCAGACTAGAACAAGATGAACAGAATGGTCCCTTCGGGCCTTGGAATCGACGAGTCTATGGAATTATTACACAGCCATTGCTCGTGTCGCAGTATGGCTCAGTCCCTGATGGGGAGCTAGCGATTCCTAGAAGATTACTGTGATTTATGTTGCAAAGAAGCCTCTGCAGGACTCAACCCCCACCACAGCCCTATTTTGAGGGCACGAGTGGTACATACGCTGTGGGCTGGACAGAGCTCAAAGTCCCATTTTCATTTCCATCCTTTCCTGGAGATTTAGGCAAAGATATGGGAAGGTGAAAAGAGGCCCTTACCTGTCACAGCGTACTATAAAACCCCATCCGGGTTTAAGTTTTACCAGCTTTGGGTTTTGGATCCATGCAATAGGAGTAACAGGTACCTTCAAAGGCCTACTACAATGCTGCATTTCCCCAAGAAATGTTCATTATGTCTTTGTGAAATTGGCTCCTTTCCCCAGAGCAGCATATGCTGGTACCTCCTGTTTGCTGTGGTAATGACTCTGCAGCAGGGTGTGGAATATTTACATTTCCTATTCTCTCTCCTGAACAAAGAGAAATGAATGGCTGGCTGGTTAGCCCTCTGCACGTGACTTCTCCACCAGTCCTGCCCATCTTGCTCAGACTTGTGCACTCTCTACAGCTCCCCCCGCCACAATAAACTCCATCATAGCTGCTGCTAAGGTGTGTGCCTGCGCGTGGTGAGGGAGCCACCAGGGTGGGGGGCTAGGACCAGCTGCAGCCACGTGGCAGGTGGGGAGGCCTGCTCTGGTGGCCAGGGCTTCCACATGGCCTGTTCTGGCAACTGGGGCCAAAAATGGGACCTGCCACATGGCGGGAGGAGGAGCCAGTGTCTGCTCCAGCAGCTAGGAACGGGACATGCCACATGGCGGGAGTCTGCTCCAACGGCCGGGAACGTACGTACGTGCACGTGTACATGTTAATGAATCAGGTGCCACACATCCAAACCAGCACACATAACCTTAATATTGGTGCACAAGCCAAAACTCATTCTGCTCATGGTTGGAAAATCTCAGCGAGAACACTGACCATCACACACGTATATTTCTAATTCAGTTTGGCCCCAGTGGGAGTGATGATTGGGTAAAGTGAATCCAGATTTCTCTTTCCTTTAATGTATCAGAAATAAATATCAGATTATTGCAAGAAGTTAATGGGTGTGTTTTTATTTTGGTCCTGGGGTTCTAACAACAGGCTTCGACTGTGCCAGGTAAGAGATGGAAATATTGCAATTCCAAGTTGCCCTTTTCATTTGTTCACAAATCTTTCTGTTTGACATTTGGCACCACCACATTCCACCAAGACGCAAGCCTATAAAAACATGCCATTTATAGTATTCTGTCAGGTACAGTAATTACTTGTTTAACACGTGTCCGCTTAACACGTTTTTGCAATAGCACGATTTTTTTTAGGGAACGTTTTTTGACCAACACAATAATCAAGTGTGGCAGTATAAGTTGGTGAAAACAGTGGTAATACGCATGAGAGGCTGAATACACGTGGTCACAGTGCTCCTCCGCTCACTCACGTGTTTATCTTTGTGTTTTAACAAACTGCAGCGACTTGTGTTGCTAGTTATC